ACCCCCACTATCAATACAGGCTGGGGGATGAAGGGATGGAGAGCAGCCCTGCCCAGAAGGACTTGGGGATACTGGTGGAGGAAAAGCTGGACACGAGCCAGCAATGTGCGCTCGCAGCCCAGAAGGCCAATCGTATCCTGGGCTGCATCAAAAGAAGTGTGGCCAGCAGGTCAAGGGAAGCGATTCTGCCCCTCTACTCTGCTCTAGTGAGACCCCACCTGGAGTACTGTGTCCAGCTCTGGGGACCTCAGTACAAGAAAGACACGGACCTGTTGGAGCGGGTCCAGAGGAGGGCCACGAAAATGATCAGGGGGATGGAACACCTCTCCTATGAGGAAAGGCCGAGAGAGTTGGGGTTGTTCAGCCTAGAGAAGAGAAGGCTTTGGTGACAACCTATTGTGGCCTTTCAATACTTAAAGGGGGCTTATAAGAAAGATGGGGGCAGACTTTTTAGTAGGGCCTGTAGCACTAGAACAAGTGGTAATGGTTTTAAACTAAAAGCAGGCAGATTTAAATTGGACATAAGGAAGAAATTTTTCACGGTGAGGGTGGTGAGACACTGGCACAGGTTGCCCAGAGAGGTGGTGGATGCCCCATCCCTGGAAACATTCCAGGTCAGGTTGGACGGGGCTCTGAGCAACCTGATCTAGTTGAAGATGTCCCTGCCTGCGGCAGGGGGGTTGGATTAGATGATCTTTAAAAGTCCCTTCAACCCAAACCATTCTATGATTCTATGACTTTTTGGAGTTTCAGGTACTTGGAGTGACATGCAGCATGTGATGAAAAAGGATCTAGATATTTTTCCTGTTTCCCAGATTAAGACAAGGCTACAAAGAAAGCAACATGCAGATCCAAAACAGAGAACTTTGAGCTCATGAGTTAGTACACTGTAGGTTTTGCATTTTTGAGATATGAAGTAACAACTCATTGCTTTGGACTGAAAACAACTTTTTGTTCTTTTCAGCTTCTATTTTTGAAAGTTAGAAGGTCATGTTCAAAGAAATTGGAAATAAATATCAAGATTTACAAGATCCCATTCACTAGATGAAGTGCAGATACCCTGTTTTTACTTGTTACAAGTAAGCTGCTAGTCGAATAGAGCTGAAATCTGTCCTTTGATGGAGCACCTTTTATCTTTGGCTACGTTTTGTGGATTTGGCAAGCTAAGATTGGGGCATCTACTCTGAAGCCCTGAAATATATGGACATAGCATTTTCCAGTGGCTTGGTATTAGTGAGCTTTCAGCATATTTGCAGTATCTGCAATTCTATTTTAATTTTACAGAATAAAAGGCAAAAACATAAAAAGTGTCATGTGAGTTAGCATGTGTACGATAGTCTTCAGTCTCACATATATGGTTAAAGTTACATGTTTACTAATTAATTGGTGAGTTAAAGACTGGGAAGGGCATATAGTCATATGCAAGGGCAGTAGCGCTTGGGCAGCCCTCTTACGCAGTCTTGGGTCTTAAAATCTATTGCTCCAAACCCTGGTCCATAAACCCTGGCATAAAGGCTGATTTGTGAGGGCTTGACTGCAAGATGGTGGTCTAGGGCAGCAGCTGATTTTTTCTTGGTAAGGAGTACTCTAAATGCTGAACCTTCAGGCAGAAAATCAACAGAGGTGCACGAAGGATGTAACTCCAAAAGCAGCCTCTCTAATGATGAATCTTTTCCTTTTTTTGTATAAGGCCTTATGCGTTATCGTAACACAGTTTCAAAATCCTTTCCCGAGTGCTGGAGCTGCACCTTTCTCTGCAGAGGAGCGAGTGCTGTCATCTGAGCCAATGACACCTTTAACACAGCTTATTTTCCTATAGTAGTAAAAGCTCTATTTTTCATATCTGAGACTCTCTATTTTTCAAAGTCATGTCCAGACAAGCCCAACAGGTATAAAATTGCTTTGGCTGAGCTGGAGAGAGCAGCACACACAGCCGAAGTAAATTCCCAGTCCTCCTTCCTTGGAGCACGTCAGGTGGACGAGGACAGACCATGGCCACAGCAAGCTTTTCCCACGGAAAACGTGGGGGACGAAAAAGGAAACAAACAGAACTTCACCGGGTAAACAGATTTCTCTGCCCTTATCTTTGCTCAGACAACATGGGACACACGCTCATACACACACACACACACACACATCGTTTTGTCTGCCAAACCTCCTCCTCTTGTTGGGAAGGGCGCCAACAATGCGAAATGCAATCCATTGGCTTCCCCCACCCTCCTCCCAGGAAGAGTTATTTTAAAACTTCAAGCTTACTGCTCGGTAACAACAGTGACCAAAGGAAAAAGGGCAAGGGAGGAGGGGTGGGAGGGAGCACGTTAACATGGGGAGGGAAAACCCCGCCAAGACCGTACAAAACGGTCCATGTAGCAGCAGGGACACCCGGGACGGGACGGGACGGGACGGGACGGGACGGGACGGGACAAGCTTGGAGTACGCGGGACCTCCGGGGCAGAGCTGCTGTCTGTCACCGTGATACGTTTGCTCCCGCTGCTGTAAAAGCAAAGAGCGAGCTTGCTCTTACTCGGAAGTAACGAGCAGTTACACTTTTGCTAGCAGTTTTACCAGGGTGGCAGCGTGGACCCCAACGGGATCACAAACGTCGAGACAACTAGATTTCGGATTTGTTTCCTGGTGTGCGTTTTGGCCTAAAAAAATGTACTCAATTATTACATGCAATGAGAAACAGGATTTTCTCAAGTCGTAGTGTACGTAGATGTTGCGTACTGCTTTTGTGCATCATATACCGTTACTGCAGTGAGAGAGAGAGAAAACAGTGATGTTCCTGGGGGGAAAAATAAAATAGATGGGCTTTTGACAGTTTTGTAAAGAGTCGTGAGAGAAGTTATTCCATCTCCTGTTGGGCCCTGCTCTAAACTGCACCTTTATAAATACAGAAAATAGTTCATACTGGAGAAGCTAGGCAGTAGTAAGCAGAAGATAATAGGAATAGGAGATAGTCAGATAGCTTGTGCCCAGTTTGTGGGCCCTTGAGCAATGAGCAAGTCGTGTTCTGTGGCTGGCATGCTCTGCTCCTGCTGCCGGTGTGAACAGCATCAGCCTATCCCTCCGTTCAAACGTTTGAATTATGTTTCCAGTGCTGTTCACAACCTGTGGAAAACGTGCTCAATGATCTGCGGTTTGGGGACCGAGTAGTTCCTATTCACGTGTATAATGCAGTGCTCATCCCTGAAAGTATAGACAGCCGTTGGAGGGGGGAGGGAGGGGGAGAGGGAGGCAACCCAGACCATCCAAAAGTGTATGTTCTTTTGTGATCTTTCATCTCTTTTTTTTTCCTTACCCTAGATTAAACCAAGTTTAAATATATGTAAGCTATGGACTTTCTTTGAACCCTGCACACAGAACCATGCTTATGCTTTTAAAATGTTTTAAAGTTGCACATGTAAAATAGATGTATTCAGTCTCTTTAATAATGAAGAAAAGCATTTACTTTTTTAATGCTAGCGCTGAAACAATAATATATTCGGTTGGAAAAGTTACCAAAAATGCCTTTTGGGTGTAACAGTATGAGTGAAAACTTTAGCCCAGGAGCAACCTGGAAAGGTACAGGCAACTAAAAGCTGGAATTGAGGATATGTCTGGGGTTTTCTCACTGTAGATGCAACATGCTGATTATGATGCACTGGTTAAGCACAGATCAGGAAGACTTGGAGAATTTCTTTTCATATATCTTAAAGCTTTAATAAACGTAATGAAATAAGTCTTGTTGTCCTTAAGGCAAAACAGCAATTCACATCAGTATTGATGTGCTTTGTTATAAAATCATGTGACTATTTTGCACTCGCAGAATTCAAAAAATAATTTGTTATGAAACTGCAGAGTTACGTATGTGGTTTTGCAACACCAGTGATGATATCAGTAGGTGTTTTGGCCGAGTCATATACGCACGTTACGCTAAATCAGATTGATCATGTCAAGTGAATGAAGCTACAGAAGGGATTTATTAAAAATGCTAGTGGGCAACTTCCTGTTTGTTCTAGTCTTCTTGTTTCTTTTTAGGGTAGGAGTTTGGTGTGAATTGGCTTAGTTACAAAGTCCCACGAATTAAAAGTATACCTGCTTATTTGCGGGACCTGCTGAAAAACTGATTTGCCTTTCTTTATAGGGTTCCCATCCTTACTGTGGGAGAGTATTTGGGTATGCCATTTGCTTCAGCTCTACAGCAATGCTTTCTCCTTCCTTAATTGTTTTGCCCTCTAAGGTAAAGACTCATAGGGTTCAGTTCTGTGATTCAGCAAGTTTGGTCTAACAACTACTGCTGCAGAAGGGGATGCTTTTACTTTCTCTTCTTTCCTCGTGCTGATACTGGCATTCATCCGACTAAATAGCAAGTCAGTTCGGGGAGATAGTTTTCGTGTTCTTCAGTGTTTTTGGTAGGGTTCATGCTCTGGGAGTTAGTTCACCGAAACGGTCAGAAGAGGGCCAGGGTCAGCACAAGGGAAGAGGCAGGAATGGGTACTCACAGGCACTTAATGAAGTGATGGAGTGGTGACCGAGGGTGGAGAAGAGATAGCCAGTTTTTAGGTTTGCTTAGCCATGTTTCAGAAAACAAGTACTCAGCTGGCTGAAAGCAATTTTTCAGGCAATTGTTGAGGTCGGAGTTGCTGGCATAACTTCTTGTCCCCCTGCATGTTTTCTGGGAGGAAAAAATAAGAAAACAGTGGATTAAAATTTGGTTGTGTTATTTCACAGGATGCTCTTAGGAGTGAAGGACCTCATCAGTACAGGCTTTTATTCTCGGCTTTAAAGTGCATCTTCATATCTTCCCAGCATTGTCATAGTGTTCCAAAGTACCTTTCGACAGAGCAGTGATAAATACCATGTAAATGGCATTTTGTGAACAGTTGTTTGCTTCTTGGTGATGCTATGTTTTTTGACGTTGTAGGTAATCTTATCTGGAATCTTAGGCTTAACAACATGGAAGAGGCCGTTGATGCTTTTGGTAAGTATGGATTAAAACTTGTTGTAAGGAAGTTATCAGAAGATGATCCTGATTTAATAGTCATTGGTAAAAAGAAAAAAATAACTTCTTTCTCCTTGAAAAAATAGACTATACTACTTGAGTCTCTTTTTTAAAATTGTAGAATCATAATTATTAAAAAAGGAGTCAAAGCCTGTGAAAGGCTATATTCTTTCCTGCACAGATGGAGTCCCCATTAAGTGCAAGAGTGGACCACGCCTGGAAGAAGTGTTAATGATGTTTACAGAGCACTTCTTGTGTTTGTGTAGGTACAAGAAAGTGCTGGTTTAGTATAAATAATCTAGCTCTCTGAGGCAGTGCTGCTTAAGCTTAAACAGGGGAGTTGGTTTTAAAGCTTAGCTCAGTCGTACTGTTTTAACGTCTGATAGCAGGTTTGAGAGCTAACCTAAGTATTGCTGTCTTACAGAAAGTATCCAGTGTTACTGGTTCAAATACAGTTGACATTACATTGCTCTGAGAGAAGTAAATTGATGTACGGGATGTGTAAGCTGTTTCTGTTTGTAAGTGAAATCTGAAGCTGTGTGGCTCTCAATGTCTCAGAGTTGGGATTTGAAAAAAAAACTTTTGAAGTGTTTTTTTTGTTTGGGTTTTTGTTTTGTTTTGGGTTTTGGGTTTTTATTTTTTTGCCTTACTGTCACTTCTGAAGACCTTTTCTAGGACAAAGCAGTTGTTTTAGTTTTGTGCAGTGCTCCTTCAGGATCCGCATGGTCATCAGTGAGGAGTACCAAGGATCAGGTGTGTGAGCTGTGGATGAATTGCTGTTTCTCAGTGGTGCATTGGTTAGCACAGGCAGAGCAAAGCAAGTTTTTTACCAATTCTGTGGATAGAAAGAGGAGCTTGGTGTCTGGGGCTCCCAGTCTGCAAGGACCATATTTTCATGAAAATAAATGTAAATGCCATTCTGCCTCAAAATGCCTTAGGCTTGCAGAGTGCTCCCGGTCTCTATATTGCTTGTGTTCTGTGCTGTTTCTAGAGCGTGTTGTTGCTGTAGTTTCCTTTTGTTTGTTGTTGCTCTTTCACTCTTTCATATTCTCCTTTTTATAAACTTTATGGGCCCTTTCTAGTTTTACTTAAATATGAAAGCACCAAACTCTTCCTGACCCTTTCATTTATTCAAATGATCTTTAGGACGGTCAAGTGCTGGAGCAGATTTCCCAGGGATACTGTGCAGCAGATGGGGAAGTTTCTGAGATGAGAATGGTAAAAGACCTGAGCAGCCTGCTACAATCTCATAGCTGACCCTGCTTTAAGCAGGAGGATACACTTCTGACATCCCTTGCAGCCACAGTTATTCTATGATTATGTGATTCTGTGAACCTGTATTTTTTTTCAAATTTGTACATGTATTTTAAAAAATCAGACAAAGGTCTGATTTTTGAAAACCAGGTTAGATCAGACTTGACATTGGGAAACATTTCTTTACTGAGAGGGTGGTCAAACACTGGAACAGGCTTCCTAGAGAGGTGGTCAATGCCCCATGCCTGTCAGTGTTTAAGAAGCATTTGGACAATGCCCTTAATAACATGCTTTAACTTTTGGTCAGCCCTGAATCGATCAAGCAGTTGGACTAGATGATTGTTGTAGGTCCCTTCCAACTGAAATATTCTATTCTATGTGCAAAAAAGGAAATGAGCATTAAACACTTCATGAGGCTAAAGAAATCGTGTGTTGAACTAGCTATGGTCTATCAAGGACAGATTGTTAGTTTCTGTGAGCGTATTTATTTTGGGCTAAATTTCCAATATATCTACCCTGTAGTAACTTGAACATTTTCTCTTGGGAGTTATGAGGAGTTGTATGAGCTGTAACAGGAAGTTTCCTAAATACCGAAGTAATGAGACCCCTTATACAGCCATGGCTTAGAGTTACAACATTCATAACTAAAACTATAAAATGCATTCAGAGCTAAAACATATCCCTTTTCCAGCTGTGACTGCCCTTCCCTTTTTACTACTTATGGAAGGCCCTTTTGCACTTATTTCTTGTAAATACACTTCTAATGGATTCCTCTCTCCCAACTTTTGGACTGAATCCCTTTTCCCCTTGCCTGCACAGAGCCACCTCCCTGCTGTGAAGGAAGCAGAGGTGGGGCAGCTGTCTCCCTGACAGCCCTTAACTCAAGCAGGTGCTAGGTGTAGAAATGCCGTTATGCAGCAAATGAGCGTATGGAAAGGATTGATTGGACATGAAGGTGTGGCTTTGTAAGATTGCTGTTGAACCCAGATATTTAGCATGTTGGGTACCTGTGCTAGAGCAAGCCGTGCCAGATCTGAGGAGTGATAATCAATTACCCTGTTTTATGTTGCAGCAACTTATGTCAGCATTTAGTTGTCTTTATGCAGAGACTTTGGACTGTGCTCAACAGTTAAAGTGTAAAGGTTGTGGCATTAAGTGGTCGTTCTTTTTCATATATAGTTATATCTCAATCTACAAATGCGCTCTTGTTCATAAGGAAGGGCCTCTTCTCATCTTTCTTTTTATGCAGAGCTGTTTTCAGTCACTCAGTTCAGTTTCATAGTTTCTTCAAATTGTGCGAATACTCCCTGGAATTCTTCATATGCATCCAACCCCCCCCAAATAGCTTTGTTTTCAGCCCAAGTTGGATAATTATATCTAGATTTTAATTTATCATGGTGTGTACTAAAAGCTCTCAGATGTAGCAATTAGGCTGTAATTAAGGGTAGATGGTTGAGCTCCATCATTTAGCCTTCTCTCCTTCCCAGGGCTGGGTATTGAACAGAACTATGGTGACTGGTGAGTGCCACAGCATTTGTCCACGAGGAGGTGCCGGTCCTCAGAGCAGTTTGTGGTAGGGTTTATGCTTAAGAATATGGTAATGCTGTTTCTTGTGGCTTCCTGTATTATCTTATTTTTGGTTTTGATTGTCAGTTTGCGGTACTTAAGGAGTTTTATAATGCAATTCACATTTATCTTTGCCCCCTTTAAAAAACCTAATTCTTTCTGAAAGAAACCTGTTTGCTACTCTGAATCAGGATTTCAGGATTCAGGGTTTTCATTTCTGAAACCTGCTGGAGTACACCTATTTGCCTGCAGCTCCTTTGCATGGCAGCAGTCTAGCTCCTCCAGTAAAAGGGTGCTGTCTTGGCTCACAAAACATTTCTCTCCATCTTCCCGCTTTAGGTGATGATTTCTCACTGCCTGGGTTTGTTTGTTTGTGAACAGCCAGGCTGTCCTATGGCTGCCACTTTAATCCGAGGCCTCGGTCATGGGGAAAAACAACCCAACTGTTGTTTTCTCTCTGTGATGGCAAGGCTCTGGTGCTGCTGACGCTTGGAGAAAGCACATGGCTGTGATGTCATGAGAAAGGAGCTGGGGATGGGCTGCTGTGTTTTGGTCACTCATGTTTTTCCCCCAGAGGGGAGACAGGAAGGCAAACCCATTAGTTACAGCTGTAGTGGACCTTTAGTAGCACCATCTGTGAAAGGAAACCAGTCTTGAAGAGGGATGGCTGTGATAAGACCTGTTAATAAATAAAATTGAGAGCCACATTTGTTGTTTTTCGCCACCCAGGCTGTATTACAGCATGGGAAGGTACTAGGTAAATAACAGGTCCCAGAGACAGGGTACTGCAAGGCGAAATCAAATTATAATCATATCTTTTGAAGGACATTCTTGCAGGGGAGGTTTGGCCTTCAGCAATACAGCTGTTGAGAAGCCTTGGCTCTGAAATTTTACCTTGCTTTTAGTTGTCTGAGGTTTTCCTGTTCTGGGTATCAGTTGTCAATCGACTTTGGAAGTCAGCTTGTAACATGCTCTGAAGCTGATTTTTCTTCCAGAGAAGAAGCTTCTTCCTGTGCATGCCTGTCCGCATGCATTTAGTGGGGAAAGGGAAACTCCCCCTCCTCCCCCAGTTGTTTGGGTATTGAGACTCAACCGTTCTGGGCTCAATGTTACTCTTGACTTGTATAAAAGCTTGTTCCTTCCTCTCCGCTACTAAACTTCTTTTCATAGGGCTTTAAATCTCATTTTTAACTGAAGGAACCTAACTTCTTTCAGAAAGTATATCAATTCCGCATTGTTTGTTTGATTGCGTATGCATTGAGGACAATTCACACCTTCGATAGGCCGTGCTTGCTATATTAGCCTTTGTCCTTCCCTGTATACCAGCTCGGGGTAGCCAATGCACTGTGAGTTAGTTGTATTCCCAGGTGTTGCATGAGCCATATGTGCGTTGCTGAATGCAGAAGCATTCTGCTAGTGAAGCATCCTTTCCTTTCCAGTAACGTACAATCAATTGCAATCCTGTACAGTGTGCTTTTTAGGAGGCTTTCTGGTTGTTCCTCCCCCACCCCACCCACCCCCAGCTGTAACAAAGACTTCAAGTTAAGCACATCTCTGGTGGCTGCTTGGTGCTTGGGTTCTGCTGCTAAAGAGGAGGTTTAGCTGTGGTCGCATGAAAAGTGACAGGAGTGCAAGTGTGCAGGAAGACACCAGGCTGTTACGCCGGGTAGAGTGTAACTGTGGCAGCTGCAAATGCTGGGGAGCAGTTCAGTACCCGCAAATGCATGGGATCAAGAAATTAACAGAGCAGATGCAGGCTAGGTGAATGCGACTCTGGCTTTCAGCTACACCAAGTGATTTATGGTTCTGCTGTCAGCTAGTGTGCCAGCTTTTGTATTCATACATGTTGTTGGTTTTCATGTAAAGGCTTGTGGGGTTTGACTCAGAAAAGTCCAAGTCGCATGTTCAGCATGAGTCGTTCAATCTGGATTCTTCTCATGTTTTACAGTGTGGTAGCATAAGGATTTGAAGTTTTTATTAGAAACTTTTTTTTTTAATTTAAAAGTGTTAATATTTTTGGTTTTATGACAAAAATTTACAGATCTTCATTGGAAAACAGAAAAGTTTATGGATCTCCAGTATTTATTTAAAACTTTGAAAATTTTTGAGGAATAAATTTGTAGTACACCTTTTATTTAGTTAAAACATTTTATCCAAAGAAATGTATGTCCCAGCAGCTTTAAAATAAAGATTTTTTTTTTTTTTTTTTTTTAGGGCTAGCTACTGCCTTGATATCTGTACCTTGACTAATTTGCATAGATTTAGCCAAAATTTAGTGTTTAGACCAAAATATCTAGTTCTGGTGCTAGTGAAGTGACATTCTTAAATTTTAGCCCTGCTAGTAACAATATAAAGCACTGTGAACAGAAGCTGCATATCATGATCCTAACCCTGCAAAAAAAAATCTCTCCCTACCCTTGTGCTTCATAATGAGCAAAGTCATTTGGCTTTGGTGAGAATTACTGCAGTAGTGCCTGTTTGTCTGGATTTTAGAAGTAAAATAGCTCAATGTTAACATCTTGGCTAACATGGTCGCCACCACTAAGTCAATAAATGGTATTCATACAAAGATTTTAAAGTCAGTCTTCTAAGCAAATAAAAAGAAATATGCTTTTAAGTGTGAGACTATGAAAAGCCTTTAGAGAGGCTTTTAGCCTGTATACAGGTCAAAGTCAGGTCTCTTCTGATTTTTTTTAATAATTTATTTTTATGCTGAAAAAGCTTTTCTCCCATTAATATGGGGTGTTTTAATGCTGCATTTGAAGTATGTGACTTTTTTATTAAATGAATTAGTTTGTCTTCTGTGTGGCTTTTTTTTGTTGACAGTTGTGTTGCAGGTCTCCATATGGTACAATAAATATCTCTCACAACTGATAGAAAAATAGTAAGGTCCCATAATTAATGTTTATTTATTGCTATTGCTGCTGTGTATATGGAAAATTGATACATTGACTTGCCTTTTCCTACAAGGATGTTTATAAAGTATATATGTAGGATGTAAATGGATATAAGAGTTGATGATTGCGGAGCAAATGTTTTTCTTTCATTTATTTTTTAAGTGCCTGCTTGGGCATCAGTCCTGTGTGTGCATATTAAAGTGAAAGCAATTCCTCTCTGGCATTAGATATTAGTTTCAATGGCAGCAGGACAACAAGCAGTCTGCCCATGTAGAATGAATGATAGGGTCAGAGCCTTATCATGCAAGTTTATGCTGCTGCGGAGTCCTCAAAGTGCATGATGATTTTTTACCTGGAAGAGATCATCCTTGCAAGACATTAGAAAATAACTGTGTCTCACGTTAGAATACACTTTGCTTTCCTATAGTTTTAGTTCATACAAATGTTCCTCAAGACTTTCTGCAGCTGTTCACAGTCCATGTGTATCTAATGCTCAGAAGATGAGGGCTGTGAGCCAAACTAAAGCCATAATTTGAGTTGTTTCCATTTTTATCACTGCAGTTAAGACTAGTTACCTCTGTTTTGGCTTTTAAAGTAGCATGTTTGCCTTTCCTGTTTATTTTAAGTTGAGGAGTACTTTTCTCCTGGTTTACCTGTGGGTGGGATCTTCTTTCACTGAGATAAAGTGGAACACCTGTTTTTACTTGTAGGTGAGTAGTGATGGAGAAGATATTTAAATTTGCATCTGCAGGAGAATATATCTTATAAAACAAGCTGACAGAGTACATGTTAGATAGGTGGACAGTGAGGTAGATTGAAAACTGGCTGAAGAGCTGGGCCCAGAGGGTTGTGACCAGTGGTACAAAGCCCAGCCAGAGGCCAGTCAGCAGTTGTGCACTAGGGGTGGATAGTGGGGCCAATACTGCTTAATGTCTTAATGAATGGTCTGTAGAATGGAACAGAGTGCGCTCTCAGCAAGTTCACAGGTGATGCAAAACTGGGAGGAATGGCTGGTACACCAAATGTTGCCATTCAGAGGGACCTGGAGAGGCTGGAGAAATGGGCTGAGAAATCTCATGAAGTTCAATAAGGGGAAATGCAAAGTCCTGCCTGTGCAGGGAAATGGCCCCAGATCTTCTCCATCTCTATAAATAGCTGATGGGAGGGAATGAAGAAGAGGGAGCTAGACCTTTCTCAGTAGCACCCACTGACAGGACAAGAGGCTATGGGCACAACTGAAAAAACAGGAAATTCCATCTGAACACAAAAGACAACTCTTTTACTGTGAGGATGGTCAAAACTGGTGTTTTGACCCAGAGGGGTTGTGAAGTATCCATCTGTAGAGATATTCAAAAGCAACTGGATATGGTCTTTGGCAGCCTGCTGTAGATGACCCTGCTTGAGCAGGGGATGGGACTAGATGGTCTCAAGAGGTCCCTTCCAACCTCAATGATTGTGTGAAAATGCTGCCACTGATGGAGCAGAAAGAAAAAGGATTTTTTCTCTTGACACTGAAGTGCAATATATTCTCTTGTCCACTATTGGATATGTAGTAGCGAATGTTATGGTTCAGAACATGGTAGTGTTTTAGATTGTATGTAGAAGAATTATTTTTCTTTTCTGCCTCTTCAATGGGATTGTCTGAATATTAGGTTATGCAGTCAAAAATAGACTATGCATACAATAAAAAAAAGATCAAGATTTCATTTTTATATGGTGGAATTTATTAGAACATAAATGTAGAAATTATCATCCTTGTTTTGCATATTTATAATAATGTTCCTTTTCTTCCTTTTTCTTCTTTGATTTTAACGTGTTTCTTTAGAAAAATCTGTGATTTTTATTCAAGATTTTGTAGACAATGACATTAGGAGTCTGGATTTTATATATAACTTTTTAAACAGCTGAGTACTGGATTGTTTCTATTGCAGCTTCTGCACCAAAGGAGAAAACTAATATGTGAATTTGCCTCTCTTTCTCTCTCTCTTTTTTTTTTTTTTTTTTTTTTTAAATCTTTCTTGACATTGGCCAAGTAACTTCTTTGCTCAGGACCTCCATTTCTTCATCAGTTGAAAGAGGACAAATGTATTTCTTGTGTTTCTTAATATCAGTTCTTGAGATTTTTACAATAAAGATGTTTTATGTTGAAACGGCTACTATTTCGCTTATGAAACTGGCTAATTAGTTTAGAACATAGATGAAAAACTTTCTTTGTAAGAAATACCTGTGTCTACCAATTTTCTTTTTCTCAAAGTAGTTTTAATCAAAAGGATAACTGAGATAATCTAGATAAAAGCATAAGAAATTGTATTGATTCGTTTGAGTGCTGAGCAAGGAGTTAATTTCAAAAAAATGATTAAATTCTGTGTTTGTACAGAAAAACAAATGGCACTCAAAATGCTTACTAACATTAAAACCCTCTTATCTGTGGTTTTATGATATTTCTAAAGCTAGGAGAAAATACTGTTCTTCTTAATATTGATTGTTCTCAGTATGTCAAACACAAAATAGTCCCAATCCTCTTCAGAGAAGTACTAATAGCTACTTTAATTACTGGGTTTTTTTGAGGTTAAAACCTACCTTATGTGATAATGTTATGGTCGAGCTTCTATAAAACCTGCTGGTAATGAGATGTTGTAATTTAAGGAATGAGCTTGCACAGTAATGCTCTTTGGCTCTTGTCCATTCAGGAGTGATTATTTTTCCCTGAACCTCAGTAAACGGGATCATAATTTGTGTAACAGCTCTGATTTATTTTTAGTCCAGCTTCCTAGGTAGCTAACCACGGTACGTCAGCTAAATTAATTTGGAAAGCGATTTCTGCCTTCGTGCATGTTTGGGAAGTCCTTGTTGCTGGATCTGCTGTAAATCTATCTGGAGCAGAACTGAGCCCATGTCCCTCATGATTTCCTCCTCTTCCTCAGCTTTTTGTCATCTGCATTTTTAATTTAGGCCATTTTGCTACAAAGGAATCTGAGTGAGCAGATTGTTATTAACAAGGATTCTTTTGGACATTAAAGACCTGATACTTGCTTTGTAGGATTGAGTGCTTAAAATTTAAATGTGTCAGGAGAGGAATCTGTTGGTTTTATTTGTCTCTGAAGTAGTAGTCTTACCCATAGTACTCTCTCCTGAAGTACAGGAAAACTTTTCATGTATGAATTGGGACAGGAAAAATTCTTAAATGTGTTTAAAATCCATATCCCAAGTCTCCTGTAAGCACAGATTGCAGATTGTAAGGGCATATGTGAAAGTAGGACTTCATTTTATCCACTGCTTCTGCTTGTCCTTTTTCAAGTACTCTATTACTCCTGCCATTGCTGGTCTTTCAGATGGTTTATGAAACTGAAGGTATTGTCTGATTTATCAATGGAGGTGTTCTGGTTTAGTAGCCAGGAGGAAATAAAATCATAAACCCGAAGTCCCTTAAGCATCTCTGTCCTCACTGTACTGGGACAAATACCTTTCATTTATTTGTGCTGCCAAATAGTTTTGGAAATTCTATGCAGAATGAATGTTGTCTTAAGATGTTTCCTCTTCAGGTTTCTTACTGATCTAAATGTGTTGAGAGGTAAACTCAGTGGAAGGATATGACATACAGTGGAAGACGGTATGTCATACTTTGCATTCCAGAAAAACCTTTAGCTGCCTGTACTTTTCGATAGTTGCATGTGTTTTATTACTGCACTAGTGCAGAATAAGGAGAGGGAGAAGACAAAGGTGTTTGGAGTAACCATCTACTGGGTTAAGATAAGACACCCTGGGGCACTGAAGTCATGGGGAGTTTTGAAAAGAAGGGGAGTGTCGTTCCCAGCTTCAGTTTGGGAGTGCGATTTGCACTGTCATAGGTTCCTTGAGTCTGGTTCGTGATCCTGTTCCCACTGCTGTTAACTTTTTTTTGTTGTTCCAGGCTAACCTATTTGTTCTGC